TGCTTATCGGAGTGAGTCCTCCCATCTTGCTTCATATATGGGTAAGTTTCATGATTCTTGTACTCAGCTTATGTCTTTACCCTTGTTGGGAGATTCTATGGTGGTAGCTCGTGTCTATCATTTTGTTTTTTTCTCTATTGAGAGTCATGAGACTAGGATGAATTTTTTGTTACTCGTTACGGCAGGTATTGATGCTGTTTTGGTTACGATTTGTAATTTAGGTACTCTACCGGTAAGGGGAGTCCGTTACATGTTGTGGTTTTGTCTTGGGGAATTGAGTTAGTGAAAGTTTTTGGTTGGTGTGGTGTGTATTCCACTTGTGATTCAAAGCTGAGGACGGTATCCTAACGTTTTCGTGTGGTTTGATATGTTTGATTCAGACTAAGTGTCTCGGTGGAGCTTTATTAGGAAAAGACCCTTGTGATTAGTTCATATGTTTTGATTCTCCCTTGTGAATTGGATCCGTAGTATGATACTGATAGGGAGTTGTTCCTGTTGCACTTGTTTATAGCTCTCTCATGAGTTTCACTTTCAATATCCAGTCGTATACGTGTTGTACTTATTAGGTTTTAGCTTGCGAGATATGTGCCCAGGTGGCATTGGGTGTGACTTGTTGATTTAAGTGAATGCTTATGAGATCTTCATGTTTCTTGAATTGTTGCCAGTGTCGTGAAGGTTTGGGACAAGGTTTCAACTAATATTAGATTATTTGCCAGTGTTGGATTTGGTTATGGGCAGTTGTCATGGTCAGAGTTCTTGTTATGGGCATATGTGTGATGTGTTATGTCATGTGTTTATACCTTGTGGGTGTATGAATGAGCTATGGTAGCTGTTTGAGGTTGATACAATGTGTTTATATGGGAATCAGTTCTTTATGAAATGATCAGATGGTGATAAATTTGGTTCTAAGGCTAATTGGTGTAGGTGGAAGAAATAATCTTCAGTTGAGATGGTGTTGTTGGGCTTATGTGGATTGGAGTGAAGTGGAATCACCCCGCGAGTATATGTATAGTGACTTAGTGAGTGCGTTCAGTAATTGATGACTTTGAAACGGTTCTTGGCATGTTCGAGGACGAACGTTGGTTTAAGAGTGAGAGAATGTAATAACCCGGCCGATTATTTTGAGAATTAGTATTCCATTTGGTGGCATAAGGTCTCGAGCAGCTTCGTATTGTGTATCAAGACTTGTGTGGGTGGCCGAGTCTAGTTTTCAGATGATTCAGAATTGATTTGGAATAATAATCCCTGTTTTAGAAGCTTAAGTGGCATGAGTTGAATGGATTTGATGCATTTTGGCGAATGTTAGAAAGTTGAAGGTTTGGAAGATTGAGAGGTTTGACTGGGAGTTGACTTTATTGATATTAGGTTTGGATTGCAAATTCGGGAGTTGGAATATCTCTATTGTGTAAAATTTGAGGTTATTCCGGGTAGATTTGATATGATTCGGTGCGAGTTGTAGAAGTTGAAAGTTCATAAGTTCATTAAGTTCGATTTGAGGGGCAATGCGTAGTTTTGATGTTGATTGATGTGATTTGAAGCCTCGATTATGTCCGTATTATGTTATGGGATTGTTTGGTAGGATTTGACAGGGCCACGGGTGTGTTTCGGACGGGTTTCGGGATAATGTTAGTTTAAGCTAGTTTGGGCAGAGATCTGGTGTGGTGGCACCTACGGACCTCAGGGCGCAAGTGCGGTGACCACAGGTGCGAGTGGTAATGTGCATGTGACGTTTTGTGAGCTGGGTTGAAGTATCCGCAGATGCGGCGTCATTGTCGCAAAAGTGGACGCGCATTGCGCTTCTTTGTTCGCAGAAGCGACACCGCAGGTGCCGTGTCTTGGACGCAGGCGCAGTCGTTTGGGTTTTTAATTGTCTGCGCATCCGTGATGAATATTCTGCAATGTGGCTTCGCATATGCGACTGTGAGTCCGCAAAAGCGGAAGTGTTGGGCAAAACAATTATATATCGTGGGCTTCATATTTTTATCTTTTTTGGAGTTAGAGACTTCGGTTTTGGGCAATTTTAGAGGGGTTCTTCACGTGTTGGATTAGGGTATGTGTTCTTGACCCAGATTTGATTATATTTCATGATTCTATCCTTGTTTTTATCATTAAATTAGTGATTTGAATTAGAGAAAAATGAGAATTTTTGTAAAAAATTTTAAAAATGTAAAATGAGGATTTGAAGGCAGATTTGATATCAGAATAAGATAATTTTTGTATGGTTGGACTCGTATGGGAATGGGTATTTTGATTTTGTGAATTTTGTCAAGTTACGAGGTGTGGGTCCCTAGTTGACTTTTTAGTTTTCATTAAAGATCGAAGCTTTATGATATTAAGTTATTTTGGCTAGATTTTAGTCGTACAGAGATTGTTTCACATGAGAAGGACATTTTAGAGTATTTATTTGGCTTCTTTGAGGTAAGTATCTTTCTTAACTTTGTGTGGGGGAACTACCTCTTAAGATTTTTGTTGTTTGTGCTGTTGTGTTATGTGAAAGCCGTGTAAGCAAGGTGACGAGTGCGTACTCAGGCTTACATGTGGATATTGAACGGTTTAGACTCTTAGGCTTCTTTCATGAATTTATTAGAAATTGGTAGCACATGTTATATCTTTTATTTGTCAAGTTTACTTTCACATGCTTATTTCAGAGTTATTTTTACATGTCACATCCTTTACTTGTCAAGTTTACTACTCTATGCTTTATTTGAAGATGTTATCTCTTTTATCATTTCGTGACTTGCTTTATTGTTAGGTTACTCTTAATTGAAATTGTTGTTACATGATATCCTTTTGTTGTCGGGTTATTCACATGTATTTAGACGTAGTTGCTAGTTCGTGCCATCTCTTTCATTGTTAGCCTATTTCATACACTAGAATCTGAAATTTACCTTTTCATGGAAATAACTTCATTATCGATTTTATCCCTAAGCAATTAATTGAAGTTGAAGTTGCTGAAAGTCATTAATCTATTTCAATTGAAGTTGTGTTTAAAAGGGGTGTTGTTCATTGTTGAGTTACTTTCCCGTTCATTTTGTTGTTATTGAGATTCTATACATATTGTGTTGAGCCATGGGCTATTTGTTTAAAATATTGATATTGTTGTTTCTTTTGGAAAGGTTGTGGCTAATGGGCATGTGTGGTACGAGTTTATATGTCGTATTGTTGTGATGTTAGCACATGTGAATAGTTATGTAGATTGATTGTTGTTATGCGAAGCATAAGGGTGGCATCTCACTGTTGTTATGCGGGGGCATAAGGGTGTCATCTCACTATTGTTGATTGTGCGGAGTGATACGCGTGTTGACGGCCAATTTTGACCCTCCCTTTTAAAATTAATTTAGTTATACTTAATAATGCGCAAAATGTTATCTATTTTTTAAATTAATCAAGCGTTAATTTCAAAATTAATCATTTGGTATTAATATTATGTAATTACAAATATATTTACTATCTTAAGATTATTAAAATAATTTATGTACTTAAGTTCTATAATTAATTCACTAAATTACTTCTTAAAATAGTTAATTCGTTTACTATTTCAATAATTCAAAATTAATGTCCTAATGAAGTACTTTTATAAATAATTAATTAATTGCAATAATTAGTAGTATTTAACAACTGTAATTTTACTATATTTTATTGAAAATAATTAAATTTATTTAGATTAATTTCAAAAGGGTAAAAGACTAAAAGGCTACGATTGCAATTCCTTTATTACTTACAAACTGACTACCATTTAAATAATTTTTATCCCAAATACAAGCCCAATCCAAAATTATCCAGTCCAAACGCCCATCTCATTTGCCACCTTAGTGATTTGTGACACCCTCTCTTAGCCAATGAGAGCACGCCACATCGCCCATTTCCCATACTCACATAAGAAGCACACATGTATCTAAGTCATTGATTCATCCAATCAACTGTCCATAATTTATCTTCATTTCTCTTTATTTTCAATGTTTCTCAGTTATAATCTCAGCCGTTGAAACACATGGATCCAACGGCCCACATATTTTCTTTGTCAAAATCCTTTAATATCCGAATTATCAGGGTCATTGATCAAATGATCCAACGGCCCATATCTCTTCCCCTCGTTTTAATTCGGAGACCAATTGGTCTCACCCTAGAAACCCTAATTCATTTGTATTTTCACAGCCGCCTCCCCTTTCCTTTTTCTCTCTTCTGTCTTTCATCTTTCCAACCTCCATCAGTCACAAGACCTTGCACAAATCTGTGCAAGGTCAATAGTAGCGGTTAATTTCGGTGACTGTTGTACCATTTGTGACCTCTATTCCGGCATCTGCAGTCCCCTCCCCTTTCGTGTGCGTTTTAG